TACAGGTTTCAAATCTAACTTGATTATTGACTTGTAGATAAAAGGCATTTCTATGGGGAGAAATTTCAACAGCTTTTAGGACCATTGATTACTTTTGATTCATAATTAGATTTAGAGCACAGAGAGCCTCTAAGTTAAGAGCACAGGTTCAAGATCACAAGCTGACTCGTGGACACTAAGCTGTTTTATATTTTCTGAAAACACTGTTTTAAAAGCATGTATAGTGTGAGAATTATGTCCACTTGTAAAGAAAAGGATCAATCTTTCTTGTCACCTCAGAGAGCCTTAGTGGCTAAGGCTGGTGAAAATCAGCCAGATTTAAATCCAAAATGCTGCAAAGCTTGTTGCTGCTCTGACACCTCATCTACAGAGGGCTTCATGACTGATTCTCATCTATATTCTGGAGCAATAAAAACACACAGTTTTTAATTTCATACTCACTGTAGTAGTTCTTTATCCCTCAAATTCACCCTGTCTAGCCACCAAAGAGAATAGTTTTGTTTAATTTATCAGTACACCTAATAATTAATTGGAGTCGTTCACTGTTGAAAGAGCTATACATTTGCACTTCTTGATTTCTTTTTGTTTTGCAAGATTGCTACAACAGATGTTAATGCTATCACTTTTTTTGGAGATTATTTAAGTGGCCAAGAGTGAACAGAGCTGTACTTCTTGCCTATTCAAATTCAGATGTTGGCCTGTAGCCCTAAGTTTTTCCTTTGGATTTTATCAGGGCTTTTTTAAACTAAATAGGAGAATTGGAGCTTTAGTTTTTCCAGAGTTTGTTAACATCTTATTTTTATGGATTCAAACATGTTACACTTGCATTTCAAGCCAGAGTTATAGTCTTACTTCTTGCAGGGGAAGACTTGACAGAAAAGCAGATGCAGTTGCATTACTAGTTTCATTGCTGATGTTAAATCAATGTATTGATATCTACTTGCTGCACTTAAAATTGTTGAGAGGAAGCTAAAGTGAAAGCACAGGGATAACTTGAGTCAGTTAAAACACACTGCTAAGGTTCTTCCTGACAATTTTGCTGAGTTACATAGGTACAGCATTGTTTGTAAAGCTTCTAGCTTGTGCCTCCCATAAAGTACCGTTTCCTAACATTCTATTTTTATTGAAATGTACTAAATTTATAAGTTGAGGTGGGATATTTTGGTTATTAAGTTTGTCCATCTAGTACTCCAGATTATAATAACCTGCTTTGTTTTACTGCAGCTTTAACAAAATCTATCTGACTGGACTGAGCTGTCCAAACCTAATCTCATGCAGATTTATTTTTTGAGATGTTTAGCCAAAATAGGTCATTTGTATCCAAGATCCGATTAAAAAAGAAACCACCAAAAAAAAAACCTTTAAAAAACCCCAAACCCCCAATGAACAACCACAAACCCCAAACCTAGACTCCACAGAATTGAGGAAAAGCTACCTAAAGCTATGAATGGATTTGGCCTTTAGTTCTTCATTTGAAATCTGCACATAAATAGCAAAACAGTCCATCTGTGAAAAATTGCAGTGCATTTATGCTTAGTGGTGACAACTTCTGTGTTCAGCTGTTAAATTCCCCACGGGCTTCTTCTCCACAGAAATGGGAAAGTTTCTCCCCTAACCGCAGATTCCAGCAGAAGCAGGATGCACTGGATCTGCTTAAGGGACAGGAGGGAAGTACTGCAGGGGGGCTGTTCCCCCTGCAAAAGGGGCCATAGGGCAAGAGTCTGGGGTGTGCTGGGGATGGACATGGGCTGGGATGGGAAATGCTATTTAAGTTAGAATGTGACTGAAGCTGGGTAGGAGGTAAGAGTGGAACAGGGCTAGAAAAGGACTGGCTCATGTTGGGAGGGAAGGGACTGGGCAGTAGAGCCAAGAGGAAGAACTGAAGCAGTTTAGAGATGAGGGACTGCCCTATTGCCGATGTGCACGTGCATCTTGGGGCACTTGGACACTGCCTTAGAAAGCTGGATTCTGCCTGGTTCATTCCTGTCAGGATTCTTAGGATGCCAGGCAAGGAAATGATGCTGTGTCTCACACACCATCCCTCATTGGCTATTTTCATTATTCTGAATACACAGCTGAACAGTGAGGTTTGAGAGCATACAAAGAATTCACAAATGCTGCTGAAGTCTCTCAGATCTGAGCCTTGTAAATATAAGGATGTGATTATAAGAACAGAAGGAATCATTGACATCTTAAATTGATTGTCAGTAAACACATTAATAATGAACTGTTCAGCAACTAAAATCAACAAGATCAAAGCCCACAGCATGTTCCATGAGTAGCCGCTTATCTGTAAGGTAGGTATTAAATCATGGGAGGCATAATTGCTCTATGATAATTTTAAGTTTGGCAAAATATAAAAGATGCATACTGCATAAAATTTACATGAAATAAAATTTGTCTGAGTGTTAAGTTGGGATGCTGGTTGGAGTAGATACTTTTTTGAATTCCTACTACTTACTTTCTTGGTTTAATTTTGTTTTCATTGATTCCAGGAATAAAAAATTCCATCGCTTTTACACTGCCTTTGTGCAGGGTACAGTTATTACCAGGCAGCCAATGATGTCACTTGTGTAGGGGTAAATGAATTTGCATTAGGTTTACTTTACCTATCATGAGTAAAAATAATCCTGCAGGTGTTGTAACTGGACTTTGGTGCAGACTGGGAGTATGTTTTGTTCCCTATCAACTACAAAATCCACTCTGCTGCATCTTTGCAGCTGTTGCTATATGAACTGGTCCAATTAAAGCAGTGAATGTTTAACTTCAGGGTATATGGAAGTTAATTGGAAGTCTCTGAATGGTTTAAGAGCCTCACTCGAGGGGATGCTATTGATAGTTCACATGAGCAGGATGGCACTGCTTGGTGCCTGAATGTCACGAGTTAAAAGTCAAAGGGCAAAATGCTGGTCTCCGTTAAAGCCAGTGGAAGTTTTGCCATTGACTTCAACAAACAGAGGATTTCTCCCTTAATTCTGTAACTTTGGTTAGGAGGAGAATTATGTTGTACTTTAAATTCTTGTGGCTTCACCAAGAGTCTGTACTCCAAAAGTTTTTAGATTTTTATTTAGTCTGATGGTGTTTTGTGGGAAACTAAATTGAAAGTGTATTTAAGGGCCCCAGGGACCTGCTCTGGTGAACTGCATCGGGAGAAGCTGAACATCTGCTTGATGCTCGGACACAGCTTTAGCAGAACTCCTAATCATTCAAAAGAAATTGCAGAAAATCTGTTTGCTTTTAAATTTCAAACCGCATAGCTCAAACTTTAAGTTTTAATGTCCTTACATACAAGTTTTTTAAAAAAGTAAAAAAAACTCAATACAAAATATTTACCACCAAGGCAGAAAATATATAAAGGAGGAAGGGAAAGAAATGCAGTTTTGCAGTTTTAGGGTGGTTTTACACAAAGGAAAATTCAAAACTGAATTCTGGAATATAACAAAAACGTGCATCATACTAACATGAAGGTGTTTTAACAGTGATTGTGTTGTCTTAACAAACACTTCGTTTACCAGTTCTATTTCACATGTGAAATAAAATGGACTTTATAGTAAATAGATCTTTTTAATTTCAATTAACATTTTTTAACTATAAGGAAATGTACAGAATTTGTGTGGAAATCCATGTACTATGTTTACTCAAATACAGAAAATACTTTGCTGCAAACTTTTAAATATAATAAAATGCATTTAATAGCAATCTTTTTTGGTTTCATCATTATTTATGAACATAACATTCAAAATATGGAAATTCAGTTGTGGATCAAAATGACCATAAAAACAGTAACCCAAAGAACCTTATAAACATGTCAACAGCCATCATTTATCCTAGATGGCTCTACCAATGTAAAAAACATATAAAATGTAGAATAATTCTTAACATATGGTTTACTTTGTTGCATTGTTCCTACATATTATGCGTGTTAAAATCCAGAAAATTGTATTATGAAGAGAATATTGGTGTTTGTTTATTAAACTAAAGTACAGGTTAAAGTCATTCTTTTCTTGTGATGAACATATACCAACAGTGATTAAAAAATAAACATTTATTTACAAAATATTGATGCATACATATTACACAAGTCAGTTATATCAAAGTGGTTTTTAAACAATATCTGTAGCAACCAACTATTTGCATTGGTTTACCATAGTGCAAACGGTAATGTTGCAAGGCAGGTTAAAATGTGGGACTGCAATTTTAATGTTGGATTTCTCTGCTGCCTTCTGTTTTTTCTATGGCTAGAAAACTATTCCTTTTAATTTAAAAAATATCTATTTCTTGCGAATGTTGAATAGTGTACCTGAGGATAGGGCAAATTCATTATCAAGCCTAAATTCTTTCACTTATATAACTATCTTTCTGTTTACTCAGCCTGCTTACGTAGCACCATTGCCATTGATTACTAACATACTAATGAGAAAAAGGAATGGAAACACACTAAATACACTATGCCATCCCTAATTTCAGGGTTTGTCCATTTATGTGGAATTTCATCTGATACATTTCACAAGTATGCACTATATATTCAAGTGTTTAAGGATGAATCTGGTGGTATTGTGTAGTGGCGTATATGTTACCAGTATATATGTTCCTGTAAATATGATAATAAATGAAGCTGTGAAGAAAAGAACCTAAAAGCCTTCTGTCCTCAGGTGAGAAGGAGCTTGCCTTTGATTACCAATGTGTACTGAAATCTGCACATAAATTTGCATCCAAATGACTGAATATTGATTCCCTCATAATGTAAGAACTTGGTGGATTAAATCCGGTGATTTTGATTGTAGCTTTTCTCTTTTGCTGGCTTACGAGCAGCCATCAGGTAATTACATTGTCCCTTAGTTCACGTTCTGTAGCTGGTGCTGGTAGCACACAGGAGGTCGGCAATGCCTTGTGTACGTAACTTCACAGTTTGAAAGACTGGTGAGGGGGTACAACTTTTTCTATTTTTTCTCTTTGTTTTTTTTTCTCTTTTTTTTTCTTCTTTTCTTTCTTTTTTTCTTTTTGGTAGCTTCCACAATTTGTGAGGCGGCGGACCCGACGAGGATCTCATGAGCACCCGCAGCGATCTACAACCATGGCCGGTATCTTGCCGTAGATGATTTGTTCTTTGCCGTTGAAGTACAGCATATTGATGGGGGACATCTTGGTGGGCGTGCAGCAAGGGCCTGCCGAGCCCCTGGGGTTGGCTTGGTGCACGAGGTGGGTGTGGGGGTACTTTTGTAAAAACACAAATTCACATTCCCCGGAGCAATAGTTGGCTTTGTATCTTTTAGGAGCGATAATCCAATCCCATCCGAAAGCTTCGAAATCCACTGTCAGTGGGTAGCGGCAACATCGGGATTCTGTTGAGTGCTCATCACAGTCGAGACCGAAATCTCTGCGGGACCGTTTTGGTGTGTCTGTAACTCTGACCTCTAAAAATGGGTTCTGTGAGAAGAGGAGAAGGAATTGGAATAATTTCTGAGGTAAGCCCAAGTTCACTAAAAACATGCAAACAATATTTCAGATTCTGAAATGAAGTTTGCACACAAAATTTGACCTACAGTTCTTTTGTAGTTATCTCTGTATTTCCCTGCTGTTTCTCTACATAGAGCTTTAAGACCTGATAATTTGTCTCTGAAATTACCATTGTCTCAGTGCTAGTATCTTTTAACTGCTATAGGAACAGATTTTTATTTTGATGTGGAGTTTGTTTGTTTGCTTTAAACTCCATAAGGGCTTTTTTTGAGTCCTTCTGAAATTGCCTTCATTAAAATCATATTGAATTCAGGCTTTCTGGATATCAAGGAAAGGTTTTTGTCCAGACCAAGGAGGACAAAAGTTGCTCCTCTATTGCTGCCATGCTTGAATGACACTATGACTGAATGAATTTGGAGGGGAAGCTAAGTATTTTGTCTCCTGGAAGAGTCCTGTGGCCAGGAATGTACTTTTGGCACATCTCTGAGCGACACGCCTCCTACCAAAGGTGTGTTTCCACAGTCACCAACTGAGACTAGAAGGAAATTGCAACCTTCACGATTGTGAGTTTGAAAAAGTTCCCAAAGTTTCTCCCTTTCACACACTGATTTCTGCCCCATGTGTTGGTTTGGCACTGATGGGTCCATCCCTTGGAGACCATTCTTCAGGAGTTACAGCCCAGTTAAACTTTGTTACACAGGTTTCCCTCTCCCCAGATACTTGTGAGCTGTGGAGCCGCTGGAAGTGCCCTTTCCAAAGGTAAATTATATGGGAAGGTGTTTGATGGGAGGGTCACCCCTGTACCGGGAGGGGAGCTGCTGGAGAGGAGCTGGAGGGAAGAGTGATTTCCTCTCCTATTATCAGCTGTCCCTCTACCCCTTCTCTGCCGCTGAAATGTTTATTTGTAGATGATGATAGCCATGTATGTATCATCATTTGAATGGATGAAGGTGGTAAGGACATGCCTGATCATGATATCCAGCTGACCTGTTTCAAATACACGAGATCCACATTTATATTGAATGTACAATCAAGATATCACAGAGTTTTCCTTTTAAGCACTTTAAGCTTTTAATTTAAAATTTCCTTTTAAATTATATTATATTTCTGTGAAGTTAAATGTTGCATAAATATGGTTGGACACAATGTTTATTTCCAACCTAAATATTTCTATATTTCTGTGATCAACAGATTCATCTACTACATAGAAGTAAAAGTAGAATAATATTCTTCATACTGTATTCAAAAGGAGGTATCACTTGGTTGTGATAAATTCAGAAATTTGTATAGGTTGTAGATGATTAGTTATAAACAGAAACAAATAGCAAGGGAAGTGCTGTAATTTCATTTTAGGTTTACTTCAGGTATAATTGTAGGTGCACTTCAGATGTAATTTTTCCATCTATTTTTATGAAAACAAACCAGATAGTTATTTTGTACTCTTTCTTATCATGTCTCGATTATTGTTTCAAGCAGAATTTCTCTATTCAGATATTTCTAATAGATAGAATGATACACTCTACCAAATAACGAAAGGTGAAGATCTTAACATTATGAAGATCTGTTCTTACCTTCATAAAGAGACAATTTTTGTTGTTGTTAATAGAAAATATACACATAGAGAGTATGTAGGAACTCCCTTGACTTCTCAATATTGGAAGCATCTTTCCTAACCAGTGAAAGAATCTAAAGACTGTTTTTTAACATTAAGTGAAATAGCTTCTTATTAAGAAGTACTTGCTCTCAAAATTGAAAACAATGTTACTTTTATGGTATCATCTATCAGTAATTGCCAAAACATTTTCTAGTTACTGCCTCGCAATGTCTCTCTGAACTACTGCAATTTCTTTCAATTTTTTAGATAGGGAAATGGAGGCAGAGGAAAGCTATTGATTTCTGGCATAATCACAGAGCAAAGAATGAATGAATTGAATACCCAGAACTTTTATCTTCCATTCCCTAAACAATGCATCCATTTTATCCTTAAAACAGAACTTAAATGCTTTTCAATCAAATGGGATTTTCTAAATAGACTTACCAATCCATCTTCCCCCGGTCCTGGGAAAGTTACAGCAAGATTCCGTCCGTTCTCATCAAAAGCTTTTATTTCGATGCCTAAATTGGATTCAGGCTGTTTGAGCCAGTTTTGCAACACTGTCTTCACATCAATACTCTGCCAAATACCGGTGCCTGGGTTCATGTCAAGTTTCAAAGATCGAATTCCAGTGTATCTTGTACCATCTTTCATGGGTTTAATAAGTCTCAGGATCTGCACAAACACCGTTGTAGGTTTTTGGACTTGCCTCAAGTATATCCACAATTGTGCTTTTACTACTTTGTTATATTGTATTTTAGAGCTAAACTTAAAGAAGCAACATTTTGGTTTTCCCTCCATTTGTACAAGAAAATCAGCTATAAATGAATGGAAAGAACAGATTACTGAACAGGGAACAAGAAAAAATGCGTATATAAACCTGACTAATTTTTTTCAGACTGTATAGAAAATATTACATAATATTATAAAGAGTACCAGTAACTAAGTGGATTTAACTTAATTAATTTTCTATGGTTTACACTCTACTGTAATTTTAGTGGATGTCAACAAAATTATTATTCTATCACCTACTATTAATTCATTTCTGCTAGTCACCTCCTGAGGACCTTCATAAAGCACGCAGAATAGCAGCTTTGCATAAGCTGACTCAACACGTGTGTGGTGATCCAGCTATTTCTAATTTACTCCAAAGCCCCAGCCTGCTGCAGACCATACAGCCCTGGGCAAACTGCACAAACACTTACATTTATTTTCTCAGTGGGAAGAAAATAATTGAGGGGATTAATATAAGGATCATTTTGTTTTCATTTGAATAATATTAGAGGAAAGTCACGTGCAGCGCTGCGTTCCTCCTTCCTGTAGCCTACGATGCAGCTGTCATACCTAGTCATGGCAATATCTTTCCATGCCAGGATAAAATGGGTAGTACTAATCCTAAATGGTGCAGGGCTTTAACGTTCATAAATCTCATCACTTAAGATACCTGTCTCTTTAGTGCATTTAAAATAGCTCATGGGCTTTTTATAAGAGGTAGGAAATTAACTCAGAGCAATGAAATACAGTGACTTTTTTTCAGACACTGTAACTATGTAGCAGTTTGATTTAAAATGGTTATAAGCCCTTGAACATAAAAGTCTGGAATGAAAGTGCAGGCAGACCTCAGGTTTGTGATAAGGCTGCAGTAAAATAATGTTATTAAGTGCCCATCTTAATAATTACTAAGTTGAAAAATTTCAGTGAAAAATTTACTTTTTCATCTCTGGGCTCATTTTTAGCTGGTGAGAGCAGCTGATATAATTCTCGTCTGCATATCATAACAATATCTGTAACTGCTAACATGCCTTATATGTCCTGTCATATTTTTCCTTTTTGACATCATATTCATAAGTGTTATTTAAAAAAACAGCTGCCATAGTCAAATACTTTAGCTGATGAAGAACATAAGATACTACAGTATTAACTGTGCAAAAGATACTTGATAGGAGCCATAGCAGATGTTTAGCACTCGAAAGATAACTCAGAATCTGCTCATTCAGTAAATGCCTTCATTCTTCCTTGGCACGGTTACGTGAGCTGATTGCTATAGCACGGACATTTTTGCATTTAATCTGTTACACACATATTTGCTTTAAATATATAGTTTTAACTCCGAGGTGGGTGGTGCTAGTTTATGGGATCAGCAAAGAGGCAAGAATTTAACTCTCTACTTGCACTTGCTGTAGCATGTTGCAGTTAGGTAGGTGTAGTGCTCTAAGCTGCATTTCTGTTGATTTCTATTGCTTCCAAAAATACTGGCCAGTGAAACCTCCCTCACAAAAATATAGTTCTCTCATTATCTGCACTTGTACTTTATATTTGCAAGAGGAAATGCCCCGAGTGCTGCAGATAACGAAGTTCACTAAACCGCAGATCTCCCTTTGCTTTCTAAGGCAATGGGTAAATCCTAAGTGCTACAGGGCACACACATTATAAGGAGCTGAAAACCAAACAGTAAAACAAAGGATCGCCACACGGTCATTTGAACCTGGCTCAAATTCTTTAGAAATAACGCTCTTCTCCCTCCCTCCAGCAGACATCAGCCAGCAGCCTGTTGGGAGAGCCTGAGGAGGAGTTGTGTGGCTCTACAGCAGGGAGACAACTCTCTCGGAGGGGCGGTGGGAGGCGAAAGAAGCAGGGTTACTTACACTCTGTAGGCATTGTGATAATCGTTTCGGTGGTGGCATGATAGTCATCATCTTCCAAAGAGCCATCGCTACTGTCATCTCTCTGCACATCATACTGATCAATCAGTTCCTGCAGTGGAGGAGCCTTGGGTAAAAGTTGTTTAATAACATCCCTGCTAATGTTAGGAGCTTGTTCCAGACGCAGTTTGCTGAGGATTTGAATTTTTATGGCTTCTATTCTGGAAGATTTTGTATTCTGTCTCCACGTACAAGCATTGCACAGTCCGTCCTTTTCAGCGTTCTCTGTGGGCTGACTACTGTCATCAAGAGCCACCGGATCAACTGAAATCAGCATGAACAGGTAAATAGAAGCATAGAGCGCTAGCTTTTGCATGATCTCACATTCAGTGCAGCACTTTTCCCTTCTTTTTTTTTCCCCCTCCCCCTTTCCCTTTCAGTACTAAACAGATCCGTGAAAGCAAATGCAATCTGAGAGACAGCTTGCCACACTGGTGTACCTTATATATTCCAAGGGGGCTTTTTATACTCCAACTTTGATTAGGCTCATGTCGTCAAACCCGACGATTGGTTGCTGTCCCAACAATGAATCTGGCTGTCAGAGGGTAAAGCCCTGTCGATCACAAGTCACTAGACAGCGTTTAGTTACAGCCAAGGGTGAACTGATTTATCTGGGTACTTTGCAGAGGATATGCCTTCACATTCTGAAAGGATATATTTCCCAAGTATTGTGGGCAGCAGTACTGAAAGACAGCACTGTCATTCTTAAATATTATACTAACTGTGTACTTGTACTATGAATCAAGAGAAACCTTGCTCTAAACTTGCTTTAGGCTTCTACCAGTCTTTCTGACTTGAAAGTTTGTTCTATTTAAAATAAAATCCCAAGGGGTTACTTTTAGCAGGCAGGAAAATAATACTTTAGAAATGGATTGTTAAGAGTACTAATTTATGTTGTTCAACAACTAATATATATTCAGCAGTTCTTATTTCAGAAAAGCTTACTGGGTTTTCCTAGACACTAGCTAATGTAGTATTGGAGGTTTTGTGAATATCTGACACTATGCAAATGCCTGTCTTATTTGTTTGCCCCTTTAGCATATATTAAAATACACAGAACAAATCCTTTACTGAATTAACAATCAGTAATGAAAAATGAGTCTCTCCTCTCTTCATGCTGTCACCAGAATCCTGGGCAGTAAATTAAGTATCTTTAGTAGCAAAGGTATTTTTAAGGAATATCTTTAGCTACTCACTCTAATACTAAACAGGAATACTTCAACTTGCTTTTTTCATTATTAGTGAAAGCATTAAAAGACTTAAAATATTTAAATCTCTACTGTGTCTCTATCTTCTCCATGTAACCTTTTCTTTCACTTCAAAATGTCTCTGTATTATGTCAACCTAAGTGATATCTCTGTGCTTTTTTACTTTCCACTCAAATACTTAGAAATTCTCTTATGTCCTGCTTATATGTTAAAAATATAGATTTAATATGCTTTCTGCATAAGACATACATCTCTGTGTGATTGTATTGGTTATGGCTTATAAAATCTTACATTTGATCTTAAAATGAAATGTAGTTCACATTTGATATGCTGCTAGCAATAATTATGGAGCTCACACTTAATGAGAGGGGTGAGGGGGTTAACACAGGCTGCATGTCACAGCAAACAGAAACTCTGGAACTGGTATGTATTGTAAACATTTGTATATTTGGAACCTATGTATTACAGCAATGGGAAATCCTGGAACTTCATGCAATATGCCAAAGTTTCCCTAATTTAGGACTGAATTTTCAGTTTCTCACAGAGTTTATTTTCTTTTCCCATTCTGATTACACCTAAAAATATGTCAGACAAAGTGTTTTGCATGTGTTTCTGTAGGAAAAACGTTAGTATAAGTAAAGCTGTGGACAGAACTCTAAAAAAAATTTTTTTTCCTCCTGGTCATTCATATTCTTTTTGTATCGCCTCTCCAGGGCATGCAAATTCACTGTTTACCACAGAACTGAGCCCAATATTCAGCTAATAACCAGTGACATAAATCACAAGTATTCAATTGAAACTGATTGTCCTGCCCTGGTGTAAAGTTGATGCAAGTAATAGATGTATCATGCTTACACATTCCAGGCATATAGCTTTAGGGTCAGACCCTGATATTTTGATTTTAGCCAAAAGCCATGTTCAAAGCAAGCATTTTGCTGCCTTACCTCCTGAGCATTTGATTTTTGCACAGAGACCGATGCAGCTACTCTCAACATGTGGTAACACAAATGGGCCGTGCTTCACTGGAACAAGAAGACAGGAGTTTGCAGTGCAGACTGCCTGCCATGACTATAACATCTTTAAAACAGACTCTTAGTGCATTTCAGGTGCCGGAAATGTGTTTTTATAGACGATGCATAGGGTGATTCACAGTAAGTGCTTTCTGAAAAGCACTGACCTGTTAGTGAATTTTGGGGGGATTTAAGTTGGGGGCTGCTTGCTATTTCTATAGTTAATGTCATGATAAAAGTATTTGTTATTATTTCTTTATTTTAAAATATATTTAATCATATGGTTATAGAAGGGAAAGTGGAAGTTTCCCCAAGTGGAAACTTTGACAGGTACCACATTTCACAGCAGAAACAGTTTAAGATAATGCTCCATCAATAATGATGGAAATAATGATGCAGTCATTGATATGAAAATAATTCAGTGTTCTGGCAGACCATGGCTAAAAGCCCAGGGAGAGGGGCAAGAGAGGTGCTCAGCAAAGCAGCGCCTCAGCACCGTGATCCTCTCGGGCCGTGCTCTGCAGCCACACTGGGCCCTCGCCTGCTCCTTCTCCTGCAAGTCCTCCCGCTCTGGCTGGCCAGCATGAACATGCAGAGCTTTAAGGCTCTTTTCCCAGTTTTCTGCAGAGAGTCCATTAATCTGCAAGCAGGAGTCCCTTTGCTCCCTTCTGTGCAGCATTTATTTATGGCTGCAGCATCAAGGCTGTAAGCATCCTGTAAGCCCAAAACCCCGGGGAGCTCTGTGCAAGGGCTCAGCTTGCTCTCAGGTGGCAAACAGACCCTGCTGAGCACCGCTGGTTAGGAGGCAGCAAGAGCAGCTGGAATGTGACACAGGGGCTGGGGGTGACAAAAGCACCCCAGAATTCACCAGCAGCTGCATAACAGAGAGCAGTATTTTTCCATTTCCCTCATAAAATGCATTTCATATGTACTCTAAATACAGGCTGTTAGTAGAATACTTTTCATCTTTTATGGTTGCTGGCTTATTCTTTTTTCTCTGAAATTGCAAGAATTTAGGCAAAAGCACAAAGTTGCACTTGATCAGGAGCTATTGAAGGATCTAATCTATTTGATAATAATAACAGAATATGTGATTTATTTTTCTGTCTGACTGGAATTGTAGTGGTTTTGGGAAAATTATGATGACTACAAGTGATGAAAGGTGATGACTACAGAAGTAGGTGATAGAAGAGAAAAAAATAAGTGATGAGGAAAAAGGTAAAAGTTTTTCTAAAATTTATTAGGCAAAAAAATAATTTAAAAAACCCCCAACAACAACAAAACCCTACCACATTATCACTAGCAAAACTAAAGAAGAGTTAAAAATGAAATGCACATCTTACTGAACTTTATGGCATTTTAATATTATCTTTGGGATTTGTGTCATTCTACCCGTTGTGCCTGCCAATAGTGAATAGTATTCCCAATCCTGACTATGCGAAGATCATGGCTCAAGGCCCCCAAAATCAAGCACAGCAAGAATGTTCCTTTGTAAAGGAAAAAGGCATACATCTGTCTACCTGGCAACTTCTCCTCTACTTTCCTCCTTCCACCATCAGCTTTTGGAAAACCTTAAAAAAAAATTTAAAATAAAAAAATTTAAAAAAGGGAAAATAATCCAAACCCACCCCCTACAAATTTGATAAAGAGGTTTCAAAGACATGCTGTAACTGCAAGTTCTATGGAAAAACAGTGACTGCACAGAGGAAAAGGAGATTACTAATGCCCTCCCTGAGGAGAAGGCGAGCAGAGCCCAAGCATTACCCATCCTTTTTGGCAGGCTCTCGTCAGGCAGGGAGCTCGTGCTCCCTCGGCAGCGCTCAGCACGCCGCTCGCCCTGGAGCATCCGCAGCCTGTCACCCCTGCCCGGCCAGCAGCGCACAGGGACAGCAGGCTGAGAGCTCAGCTTGTTTTGGGGGAGGACCAAATGGACATGGAAGGCAACCAGGACATTTCTGAGAAAAGGGAGAGTTACAGGAGTATGAAGGAGCTGCTTTCCTGGCAGGGGAGGAAAGGGACATGGGTTATAACCCTGCCAGCAACTGGACGACTTCATCCTGCTGTAGGCTGCATTTTCAAACACTTCCTTACAGCCTGCAGGACCAGAAATTCACTTTTCTTTATTCTGTTGTTTAAGTTAAATGAAATAGTTCTCATAATTGATTCACCTCAGAAAGTAGAACTGGAAGAAACAAAACAGGTGTTGCAAAATGCACTGTAAATCCGTGATTGCTATTTGTGTTGATGTCAAGTCCTACCTCTGAACCAGTTGGCTTCTCTCCCTGGTTTGCTGATAAGGAAGAGATAACATTCTTCCTGAGCTGCTGAGGAAGGTACTAATTGAGTAAGCTTTTTTCTCACTTTTGTCAGCACAAAGCCTAAATTCAAGAATAACAAAGTGAAATGGATAGAAAACTCCATTTTAAATCTTTTTGGACTAGACTCATCTCTCTCTTTGCTGCTGTAAGCTGGAAATAATGTTTGTGCAGTTATTTGGTTTGGAACACTTAAATTTAAATAGACAAATTCAAATATATAAAATGTATTGGAGTGAGGGTGTTTCAAGTGCTTAACTATTAGTCCAGCTCACCAGGTGCTTTCTTTTAGCCACCTGAATCACAAGACGAATGCATTACTTTGAATCACAAAGCAGATATAACAGCATGTCTATAAAACACCTAGAAAGAACTCTTGCAATAACAAAACGCCTATGGAAGCATCATCCCAATTACATTATGTAAATGCATCTACTGTTAGGCAAACACAGCCACTTTTAAACTTATTACCATGAACTAAAATATGAAAGCTGTAACTTGTGTGAGTTCTTGTTCTGGAACAAATGGCCTGGAAGAGTTTATCCTTTGCTATACTATTTTTTTTCCCCCTATAAAAAGTAGTCATATATAACCTAAGCATTCTGCTGTATCAGCTACTGGAAATCAACTTCATAGATGTTGATGGTATGAATATTCAATTCCCTTAGCTTACCAAAAAAGAAATACACCTTGGTTTTACCAGTTCTGAGTTCTAGATATCCTGTTTCACACAGGAAGAGAGCAGGTGTGGCTCAGGGTGTGGATGCCTTGGTACACTGACATCTGGATGGGGTATCCTGCAACTCCTTCTCAACCCCTGCTGGCAGGTGGCTTTTCCATGAAGACCAAGGCATTCAGCAATTTGGGATTTTGAGTGATTTCCCACGAGGAGTGGGTGGTTTGAG